CTGGTATGGCCTGGGGGTTAGAGCGCTCGACTTTCAATCTAAGGGTTGCGGGTTCCATTTTCTGTTACATGCATACTCCCCCTTTCAGCCGTATGAGCATTGTAACGTAATGGTGAAGCCCACTATTTGTTGGTAAAACAGTCACCCAAGAGTTGACGGTTGGTAGTTTTGAGTAGCTGCCTTCCATCTAGTCTATCACTGCTAAATTAGGGACGACTAGCGCAGATAGCCCTCGTGTAGCTTTGCGTGAAATTCACAACAAACCAAAGCAAATGTAATAATATAAAATATAATAAGTAGTATATGAATATTAGTGATGTTTTGTTTGTTTTAGAGCAAAGCCACATTAGGCTATTTGTTGTTTTCACTACGGGGAATCGACCCCCAGATTTTAGTTTTGTAGATCCGTAAACCTACCTTTGACCCACCGAGGGATATTATTAATGAAAGAAACAATAAATATACAAAATAGCATACATTAGTTAGGGAACTCTTAAGCACTTTTTGCCGTCATAAACTATAATCGTTCATGTATATTTCTTTGAACACTAGCTCTTTCTCTTTAAAGATGCATCAACCTTTTCATGGTACTAACAAAACCAATACCCATGGAGACAAAAGTCTATGAAGTTAAATAGTTAAGATTGTATTTTCAACTTATGCATGAACGTGGACTATTTTCTCCTTTTTTTTTCTACGTATAATTCACGAAAGGAAAATCTCAATAAATATATTACCCCAATTACAAAATTTTCTTTATTGTCCAAATTATATACTGTGTTATAACTTGTTCATAATATACCACGTGCTTTCACGAAAATTTGTTTCACTCCAAATATAAAGACAAAACATTTTTGAGCATTGCTGTGAAAACTGTGAGGGCTTTCTAATTGTAGAAGGTCGGTTAATATTTTCAACTTTATTCTGGAATTGTAGTTCGAGTCGTTCTTGTAGTGTATGTAATTAAATGTTACATTGTTTTTTATACCCATTGTAGGATAAGTACAAGTGTCGGTCATCACGTATTTCAGGCATTAGTTTTAAATATTTTAAGATTTTTATTCTCACTGAATATGAAATACATGCAAATAATTTGAAAGTGCTATCGTAATCAAGTTTGATGTTACTAATACTAGTCGAGCTAGGCCTGTGACGGTGTGAGTCGTGACTGTCAGTGAGACTTGAGTAGGCTAACATTAATATTAATAGTTATTGCTAGTCTTTACTACTAAATACTAGAGTATGTTTTAACTTGTAATGTGCTATAATTTTTCTTTCTCACAAATTGCAGTGCTTTTCACTCTTGTCCTGTCTTATATTGGTACAAAACTAAAGTTCAGAAGGTATAAACCTAAAAATTAAATCGTAATATTTTATTATTAATATTAGTAAAGATACATACTGAGTATCTACTAGTAGTAGTAGTTGAAGTAATATAAGTATATCGAGTGAAAAAAATAAGCATTATCATTGTAGATTTGTAGTAAGCTTATACTTAATAAGTTTGTTAACTTAAGTTCATAATTAAAAAGAAAAGTTGTTATTGTTAGTAGCAGTGAAACAGATGCTAGTGTACAAGTAGACATAAGGTGTCGTATGGAACCCAACAGTTTCTTAAATAAGCATACATTGAAAATGAAAACAAATGATATCTGTTTTGCCTGTTGTAATCAGTTCTCAATCCTAAAAATAGAATCTTAGTAATGTTTCTGGCCATAGTTCAGTCTACTTGCTTTCTGAGAAAGTAATACGTTACTTATTTTTACTGTTAAGAAAACCACCATGAGCCTCTTCCCATTCTTTTGTCAACAGCCTATGGACAAATGGAAATGAAGCATTTGTTTAAATGAAATAGCAGCAAATAGACCCAGGGACTGACCTCATAACCATTTTGTGCTTGTTATACTTTTCATGCTATAACTTTTAATCAACAAGCAGATTATCAGTAAACATTACAAGGTTTTCGTACACAAAATATTAGATTTGTTTATTAAGTTTTAAGATTTTTTTAATTAATGATTGGTTCATGCATTTTTTTTAATGTCGACTATCCAGCATGCATCAGAAAATTGTCAAATTTCACATGCGAAATTTTTATAACATCCAGATAATTATCCAATGTTTTTTTAGAAAAAATAACTATATTTTATCTGTTATTTTCACTATTGTATCTGTGTATGGGCTTGGTCGATTCAACTGACCTCGTAAGCACCATAAAAAATAGGAAATAGATATAAATTATGTTTTTTTTTTTTTGTAGAATTACTACAATTTAAAAATTATAACACAAAACCACAAATGTTTAGCCTAAATAGCTTAAATCTTAACATTATGCAGATATAAAAACTTAATATTTTATTGACGTTTTAGAAGTGTGTCTGACTAACATTACAGAATTTGAATGATGAGGTGCATGTGCACTCTTATTACTGTATCCAAGAATGTAAAACTGGCCTTTACATAGTGACCTGTCTTGGCTGTGTTCTAGTGGACCAGTATTTTGTAAAATAGTCGCATTTTGGTTATATTACATTATATATGTATATACATTATTTACAAATAATTTCTTAGGTTTCAGTTATTCTTCTTAAAACATAGAACAGTAAATAAAGAAGTACAGAAAACAATTATCTCTTTTAAGTTCTAGTTACGAGCTTTGTACTTGTTTGCTGCTTCTCATAACTTGTTAAGCCTTATCAAATTTCACATGTGGAGAATGTAAAATAAAATATATTTTTTAGATTTTATATATACATTTTGAAATAACAAAAAATTGTAAACTACTATATCCATACCACAGAATTCCACTATAATTTATCAGTCTTAGTAACTAAGCTGTATTTGTGTCTAAAAAAATTTTTTTGAGCTAAATAATGTCTTACCACTTGGAATCTACCATGGAAAGAAAGGGTTTCCCACATCAATACTTCATGGAGGCTCAGAAAACCACATGGGGGACATTCTGAGTTTTTGATTGGTTATTTACATGCCATAGACAGAAGTAGATGTATGTAAGCAATTCCAAAAATGGAAGAGGTAAATGGGGCACTGTGTTTGGTTTGCTAAATATAGTCATAACTCAGAAAATAGAAAAGATAGGAGGTTCTTAGCATATATTCTAGCTTGTCAGTATCAGTAATTTGAGCTTCTAATATGCAAGAAACTATAAACATTGTATTTGGACATTACAAACTTCTAATCTGAACCAATGCTGCATTCAGCATACCATGTGATAGACGAAAATTGATATTTAGGAATTTTTTTTATATTTACTTTTAAACTAAGAAATTAACTAATGTACAATACTAAAATTTAAATTACAGCCTACAATTTGATACCAAACTTATTGATGTATGTTTATAAAATAGTGGTTGAATAACATTTTGAATGTAAGTCTACAAATGTGATGACATGGGCTTTGATCTATGATCACGGGAAGACCTTTTCAGTAGGGTTAAATGGGAAATTATGAAATCAGGAAACTATATAAAAAAAGGCTGGCTGAAATTGAAAATGTAAGAACAAATTGCAAGAATTTCTTCAAATACATTGATTGTTTCAATATGACCTTGTAACCATCAGTTTCCATACTATAGCTTTTAGTATAGTACATGTATTGTCACAAAATTTGGCGAGCTTATACTAAACAGTACAGGCTCTTGTACACACTAAAATCATAGGTTTTAGCTAAGTGTTTTTATTAAAGATTCATCTGTGAAATATATGGAGTAAGAGTGTTGACTACTTAGAGTCCAAAATAATTTTCATGTTAAGATTAGAAATACTTCATATGAAATTTCTTAAATTTCATTTATGAAGCTTCTAAAATCTCCTTAATAACATACAACATCAAAGTTTTTTTTCAGTAAAACTTTATATTTTATCTACTATTTTCTCTACCCTAACTCTGTATGTACTCTGTCAATTTGACCAACTTTGTAACCACTATAAGAAAGTACAAAACAATCTAAATTACCATTATTTTTCTTTCTAGAATGACTGTAAATTGTAACAGAAATCTGCATTTTTTTATTTTAAATAGCTTAAGGTTCCTAACAGTATATTTGTATTTCTATTTTATTTTATTGTTTTATTGCCCTTTGAACCATGTCTAACTAATAATTCTGCCATACAAATTAAAAATCATCGGTGAATGTGAAGCTCGTACATATTGAATGACATATGCTGCTCGTGAGCATACCCAGAAAGAATTTTTTTCATTATGTTACCTAATCTAACTTAATAAATTTTTAATCCTTACATTTTAGTTACTTTTATAACAATAAATAAAAAATATACATAAAAACGAATATAGTACTTACACTTGACCCCTTGTTTCTTTGCTGTCAATTGTAAATGAAATTTAATGCGTTTTTTTTATTATGATGGTACTAGTGTACTAAATAATTTTTGTTAAATTAAATAATGCATGAAAAAATACAGAATAACAACTGGCACAAAGCAAATAATGTCCTGTAACAATTATAATTTAACTGGCTTTCTAACTGAGATAAGAGAGGCTTAAAATAATTCCCTTGGCTGCTCAATCTGAACATTGTAAGGTAAACTTCCAAACTGAAGATGAAACTGACAATACTCTCTATTGATAACAATGTTGCATTATACATTATTTAATAAATTAAGTCTGCTTTTCTGTTGGTTTTATATAATATGATATAAAAGGTCAGAGAGAATTATTGGCAATTTGTGAAAGAGAGGATGTGACAGGTGAGCATGATTCTAATTTATGACTATAAACAAATAAAATTTAAGTGTATACAAATTTGACTTTGCTTTAGTGTTCTTTATATTATAATTAGTAACTCACATTAAATTCCATGTATTATATAATATTTAAAATTGATATATTAGTACATTTAGAAGTCAAGTTTATTCATATACATTTTGAGTGTAACTCTGTAAAAGGTCGTGATATGTGCACTTTGACCTTGCAAGATAGTTATGAGTAAGCAAAATGGTGGGAAGGATGACACTGGAAGGTTAATATCTGATGATTATGGGCTGGATAGGTTATTAAATTATATTTTTTGTTCTGTTTTTACTAATGAAGATTAAAGCAATATTCCTCAACCTGGACAGTTAATAGATGGAAACAATATGAATAAATTAATTCTGAGCTTGTTAAGAAAAAATTGAAAAGTTAAAAAACTAAAGTACTTAGATCAGGTAATGTTTACCCAAGGGTTTGAAAAAGGTTAAAGATTGGATTTGAGAGCCACTTGCTATTATTTTTTTCTGAGCCCTTGAATAGTGGCCAGGTGCCAGAAAATTGAAAATTAGCTAATGCCGCTGCTATTTTCAGTGGAGGTGATAAAAGTTGTCCAAGTAATTAAAGGTATACTAGTCTCACATTAGTGGTAGGGAAAGTTTTTGAAAGTGATAAAAGATGCTATACAAAGTCATTTATCAAAGTTTAGATTTTTTTTAATAGTCAGCATAGCTTTGCTAGGGCACATCTTGCCTTTATAGTCTTTTGGTATTTATTGAAGAGGTTACTTCAGAAAGCCTTTGACAAGGTGCCACATAAAAGGCTTGTAAAACAAATTATTTCTATATATGTGTCAGTAGTAAGTTGGCTAATTGGACAGAAGAGTGACTGGATAGAAGAAAGCAGAGGGTTGTTATAAATGGAGTTCAGTCAAAGTGGATTAATATCTCAAGTGAGGTATCTCAGGGCTCAGTTTTAGGACCTTTGCTCTTGTTGATTTACATCAGTGACAGGAATGAAGGAATGATCAATAAATTACTTAGATTTGCTGATCTTATTAAGGTCTTGGGTGTTACTAGCTGTCAGGATGCTGCTACCACTCTAACCCTATCGCCACGGGTATCCTTTACTGCACATGACACAAAGTTTTAGTGTCTTACCTTCAAAAGTTTATTAGACTGCTTTTTGTTTATGTTATACCAATTAGAATAGCATAAAATCTTAGCTAATAATCCATATTTTAATACTATA